TTTTTTCTCCTGCAGGACAATTGCTTCCAATTAATTAAAAAGTACTCATGCACTTGACTCTTCAAATATTAACAATTGCCTTTCAGTCCTTAGGTATGTGTTATCTCCTTTAGACTTTTCATTTTCCCATCATGGAGAAATGAGGAAAGAATTCTTGTTAAGCCAAGTGGTTCTTCCACTTCCACCTAACTTCCTGATCCTCAGATCTTAACCACATACATACGAGGAGGTACCCCCCCAAAAAAACCCAGAATTTTTTTTCTCCCCAAAGCAATGTATGTATGTATGTATGTATGTATTTATTTATTTCACAAAACAACCTCATCACCTTCAAAGTACTCTCTATTACACTTAATACATTTGTCAAATCTGCGATTCCAGTCTTTTTTTTTTTTTGCAATTCCATTCTTGGAAGCATTTTTCAACTCATCTGTTTGGATGGCTGCTGATAGCATCTCCCTTATTTATTTATTTTTTTCACAAAACAACCTCATCACCTTCAAAGTACTCTCTAGTACACTTAATACATTTGTCAAATCTGCGATTCCAGTCTTTTTTTTTTTTGCAATTCCATTCTTGGAAACATTTTTCAACTCATCTGTTTGGATGGCTGCTGATAGCATCTCCCTCATTTTTTCTTCTATGTCATCAAATCCCTGTCCTTTCATGTCCCTCTTTATTCATGGAAACAAAAAAGCCACATGAAGTGAGGTCAGGTGAGTCAGGTGCATGGGGTAAGAGAGGCATGCTGTTTTTGTCAACAACTGGCACACTGAGATGTCTGCCTGAGGGGTGCATCGTCGTGTTGGCAAAACCAGTCAGTCTCCTGTCTCCCACAAATCAGGCCTTTTTCAGAATCTCTAAATAGAAAGCTTGATTAATAGTCGTACTTGGTGGAATGAACTCCAAATGCACTACAAGCCGACATTTTTGTGCGTTCTAGAAGTTGGTGAATGTCCAAAATGAGGTTTGTCATCAATCGACATTTCACCATTTTGAGACGAGAAAACCACGCGTACACTTGGGTTTTCCCCATAGAGCTGTTCTTATAAGCTGTGTTCAACATCATAACAGTTTCTGCCGCATTTTTTCCCAAGCAGGAAACAAAATTTCACAGCTGCCTGCTGTTCTTTTAAATTGGCCATCACAAAGAATGAGGTTTGGCGAAACTACTTTCACAAAAAAATTCACTGTGACCAGAGAGAACCTTCCCAGTTGACGCCACTTGGTGCACTAACTCAGAGCAAGTTGCTCAATGTTCAAGCTCCATTCTACCCAGTGGAATTCCAACTTTTTTTGGGGGGGGGGTACCCCCTCATAAGTTCCATGTTTTCTCTCTTGATTCTTTCTTGCATATTTTTTCTCAGTAGCATTGGTATCTTTCTGTCGGTTCCCTAAAGACACAGATGGTAGAAGTGTCTCAGGTAAGTTCTATGATAATGTATTTATAAGAGACTGTCAGTATAATTCTGAGCTTTTTGTTATCTTCATCTAATGAAACATGTCTCCTTTTGTACTGCAAAATGTTGACACTTTTTCTTTGCGTATAAAAGTGTACCCTTCTAGGATGTTTTAAAGTTATTTGAAGATCTTATTCTTAAAAACATGGAGACAACATCGTAACATTTGTTTCCAATTCCTTTTACCAGAATGGGAGACCATGGCTGAGGATGAGGAGGTGACATCCAAGCCAGGCGTTTCTCCGCGCTCAGACTCTCATAGAGGAACCTCTAAAAGACTCCACCGCAGTGTTTCCACCATCCTTAACTCTGAGCAAAAGTGTGACTGGCAAGTGTCGGCAAATCAGTGGGAAGACGCCATGGGAAACAGGGCGGCCACAGTGAAGAAAGGCTCCCCACGTGAGCGGGACAGGAAGAGAAGGACGGCACCAGACGAAGGGCTTCCAACGTGGAAGGAGTCGGAAGAAAGCTTGGCTCTGGGTGCAGCTCTTTCTGAAAGTTTAATAGGCATGGAAGGAAAGAAGTTTTACAGATGTGATGTATGTTGTAAACTTTTCAACAAGATCTCTCATCTGATAAACCACAGGAGGATCCACACGGGTGAGAAGCCCTATAAATGTAAGGAGTGTGGAAAAGGCTTTATTCAGCGCTCAAGCCTTCTGATGCACTTACGGAACCATTCTGGTGAGAAGCCCTATAAATGTAATGAATGTGGGAAAGCTTTTTCTCAGAGTGCTTACCTTCTGAACCATCAGAGAATCCACACCGGGGAGAAACCTTACAAGTGTAAGGAGTGTGGCAAGGGCTTCTACAGGCATTCCGGCCTCCTTATCCATCTGAGGCGCCACTCCGGAGAGAGGCCTTATGAATGTAACGAATGTGGGAAAGTTTTCTCTCAGAACGCCTACCTCATCGACCACCAGAGACTCCACAGAGGGGAAGAGCCGTATAAATGTAACAAGTGTCAGAAAGCGTTCATCCTGAAGAAGAGCCTCATTCTGCACCAGAGAATTCACTCTGGGGAGAAGCCCTATAAATGTGATGAGTGTGGGAAAACCTTTGCTCAGACCACGTATCTTGCTGACCACCAGCGACTCCACAGTGCAGAGAACCCGTACAAGTGCAAAGAGTGTGGGAAAGTCTTCATCCGGAGTAAAAGCCTCCTCCTGCACCAGCGAGTCCACACCGAGAAGAAGACCTTTGGCTGTAAGAAGTGTGGAAAGGTCTTCAGCTCTCAGTCTCACCTCGCCGAGCATAAGAGGCTGCACAGCAGAGAGAAGCCGTACAAATGCAGCCAGTGTGGCAAGGCCTTCACCCAGAGTGCTTACCTCTTCGACCACCAGAGGCTCCACAACGGGGAGAAGCCCTACGAGTGTAGCGAGTGTGGGAAGGTTTTCATTCTGAAGAAGAGCCTCATTTTGCACCAGAGGTTCCACACCGGCGAGAACCTCTTTGAATGTAAAGACTGCGGCAAGGTCTTTGGCTCCGGTAGAAACCTCCTTGACCATGAGAGACTGCACAATGGGGAGCAGCCCTATGCATGTCCGGAGTGCGGGAAGACCTTTATTATGAGCAAAAGCTTTACGGTCCACCAGAAACTCCACACCCAAGAGAAAGCGTACAAATGTGAGGACTGCGGGAAGGCTTTCAGTTACAATTCAAGCCTGCTGGTACATCGGAGAATTCACACTGGGGAAAAGCCCTTCGAATGCAGTGAGTGTGGCAGAGCCTTCAGCTCTAATAGAAACCTCGTCGAGCACAAGCGAATCCATAGTGGGGAGAAGCCCTACGAGTGCAACGAGTGTGGCAAGTGCTTCATTCTGAAGAAGAGCCTCATCGGGCACCAGCGAATTCACACGAGGGAAAAGTCTTACAAATGCAACGACTGTGGGAAAGTCTTCAGCTACCGCTCCAACCTGGTCGCCCACCAGCGGATCCACACTGGGGAGAAGCCCTATGCATGTCATGAGTGTGGGAAAGGGTTTACTTACAATAGAAACTTGATAGAGCATCAGAGGATTCACAGTGGCGAAAAGACCTATGAATGTCACGTGTGCAGGAAGGTTCTCACCTCCAGCAGAAACCTCATGGTGCATCAGCGGATCCACACTGGAGAGAAGCCCTACAAGTGCAGTGAGTGTGGGAAAGACTTTAGTCAGAACAAAAACCTTGTTGTGCACCAGAGAATGCACACCGGGGAAAAACCTTATGAGTGTGACAAGTGTAGGAAATCCTTTACTTCTAAGAGAAATTTAGTTGGCCACCAGAGGATCCACACAGGGGAGAAACCTTATGGGTGCAACGATTGTAGTAAGGTTTTTAGACAAAGAAAAAACCTGACCGTTCATCAGAAAGTTCATTCAGATGAAAAACCCTATGAGTGTGATGAGTCTGAAAAAGAATTCTCTCCGGCTTCAAGTCTTCCACCCCAAAATCCATACTGTGGAGGAATTCTTTTGGTTACAGAATATCAGTGAGTCCATGATAGAGATTCAGAAAGTTGAGTTTGAAATCAAATAAAATCTCTGCTACCTACGTAACTGTTGAAGGAATGACAGTATATGGCTCCTGGCAGGAAAGTTTTCAAATCTAGACTTTCAAACCTATAGCAGCACACACCACTTCCTAGTTAAAGGTCTAATGTCACACCATCTGTTAGGACCCTTAAAAGGACCCTTGGAGCAAGTAAGGACACTGAGACAAACAGTGTACTGTCTTATGAGATGTACTGCTGTTGTAAATGATAGCAAAAAATATTTGTAAGATATATATATATATATGTATATATATATATGCATATGTATATTTATATATGTCTTTATTTTAGAAAGCAGGCATTGGTTCTGAAAAGATGTGTCTAGTGCTGAACATTTCAAAGGTGGCATGACTGTTGCAGAAGTCTCTATAGCTAATACAATCCAAACTTGTAAGACATGGGTTTGTGTGGGCAAGTGTCTGCTGTTTGAGAACAATCTAAAAAGAGCACTAGTCTTGTAATCAAAAGACCAAGGTTTGGGTCCTGACTCCTCATCCTACGCAGTCGGCGATGGTGTAAGTTGGACTGGTGAGTAAGTCTTTGTTTCCTTCTAAATCACATGTTGACGTCATCCCCACCTCACAGGGTTGTTGTGAGAATTCAGTATAAGGGTCTTTGTACATTCGTAAAATCACTCTGTTGTCAATAAAATGCAACAAAAAAAGGTAAAGTCAAATTTTAGACCATAAGTTGTAGGTGGCATAGTGTACATTTGTTCATTAAACCTGAATATTGGATTTCAGAAGCGGCTCATTTGTAGAGTAAAAGGAAGCATGTGTATCTCAAACTAGAATCAAGTACTCTAAGAATAATTGTTTTAAATTACATCTTTAATAAGATTTAAGGAAGTCACGGAATATGTCTACTTGGTCTTTCTGTGGAAAAAAAAGTATTGGGCTATTATAAGAAAAAAATATCCTGACAAAACAGTGATGTCCAGGAATACTAATTTTCCACCTTCAGATTCAAAACCTGATAGATTTGGAGTGTCAATGGAAGGATCTACCTATGTTGCTCTCCTTGGTCATGGAGAAAATGCTTAACCTTACCTAGCCCCTAAGGGCATGCTGCTGCCACCACCGTCATTCCCAATTTTACGACATGCCCTCATTGTTTGATTAAAAAGGACTACAACAAACTGCAGCCAACCTCTCCTGTTAGGTTTCTGAGCCTCAGGGAGGACAGTAATTCACACATTGTCACTTGCTGATGAGAGCAGTTGACAGAGCAAGGAATTGTAGGCTCCTGGATTGAGTCTGGGTGAGAAAACTATTCTGAAATAATATTCTGTTCAAGCACTTAACTTACTACCTAAGTTTTTCACAGGGGGCCCTTTATGCTTTGGTGGACCCAATGCATTATATACCCAGGGCAGCCAGCACCGAAGAACCTGCTACAAACCAATCATGTATTCCATCTGTGCCCTTGGACATCTGTAGATAGAGTTCATCACGTGATCTTGAACTTGAGTTGGCAATAATACGTTGTTTTCAGAACTCCAGTTCAGCAGCCACACTCTAAATACCTTACTATCAAGGATTGTGCTTTCTAGTGGTAGCAGCCCCTACATGCTGTGTTTACTGCAAGTGTTACCACTTCAACCCCAAAGCTGCTCATTAGATGGAAAGGTATGAAGGAGGGAACACTGCAAAGGACCTGTGGTTTGAAGCCTTAAGGCCTGGGTTATGTTTGAGTTACGTTCTGCCACTTTTCTTGAACAAGTTCCTTCATGGGACTTTTTGAGTTTCTTGTCTGTTGAGCAGGATTAATAGCATCTACCTCAGAGAGCCCTTTGGAGGTCATGAATAGGAAGATGCTCGGAGGTGTTCGCACTGTATTTCAAGCTGGCGTAGACGTGGGGAGCTTTTGTGGGAAAAGGTAGTAGTGACTTGTGGAAGAACCAAACCCTGAACCCTACAGCGAGACAGGTGTACCCCCCCCCCAAAGAACATTGCCGGAGTGGGGTCAGTGACAGATGCCAGCATGCTCTCAATTCCCGTGTTTACGTTCAGAAAAGGCTTTGGCAGAAGGAAGGCAGACTATCCCTCTACAAGGGTCTCTGATTTGTAACTTTAAGTGGCTTGCTGTGTATAGCCCTTGGGAATGACAACAGTGCAGAGGACAGGTGAGATTCAGAGGAGACTGTTGACCACCGTGCTTAGCATGCAACAAAAGTCCCTGCAGTCAAATATAGCCAGCCGCAGCTATGTGGTGTGAACCCCATACAGGGCGCCCGATTCATGGTCACATGCTCATGAGGGCCATGGGGCATACAGAAACCCTTCCAGGTAGCCTTGTTGTGGAAGTATCCCCCCCAGACCGCATAGCACCTCAGCCTCACTACTGTTGAGGGAATTCCAACTCGAGCGCCTACATAGGAGAGGATAGAACTGCTTCTGTGGGTTTCTGAGACACTAACGCTACAGAAGGAGCCCTGTGGTGTAACGGTTCTGAGTTGGGTGGCAATCCCCATGGTTGACAAGTTTGAAACCACCACCAGCCACTCCTTGGGAGACTGGGCTTTCTACGCCTGAAAGAGTCCCAGTCTTGGAAACCCACCTGGGGTCACTGTGAGTCATCATTGACTCCAGGGCAGTGCGTTTGGTTTTGGTTCACCCTGATTTTGAACTGCTGATCTCGCTGTTCGCAGCCGTGCACGCAGCCCCCAGGGCTGTTCTATCGTATCACTTGGTGAAGAGTTCAATGCCAGCTCTTCTCTGTGAAAGTTCATTTTCATAGATACAGAGGAGAGTTGTGCTTCACCGTGGGGAACTGGCATTCACCTCTTAGGCAAGTGATAAAATGTTAACAATCTTAAAGATGGGGACAGCCTGTATGATGTGCCTCTTTACGTGAGGCGGTAATCCAGACAAATGTTTCGATGTAATCCCGTTCCTTAGACCTAATAGGAAAGACAGGGCTGGGCGAACAAGATCTGTGACCCCCAAGAGCAGATGTGCAGCATGAGTGTTGTATCAGTAAATGCTCTGCACTCACTGAGGCAAAACACT